TATGAAAAGATGTATAAGACCAGACCCAGAAGAAGTTAAATATACTTCCAGGCATACTCTGAAATAACTCCGACCGTGTCCGCAATGATTTTGCTATAATTACTGATGGAAAGGAAGCAGCTTGTGAAGTACAACAAAACAACGAAATATTTTTTATATTTTTTTATTTTTTTGCATGGGAGTGTACACATTTTATTAATGAAGTGCCACCATAAAATAAGCCCACTCTTCTGCTTAGAAGAAAATTTTGAACCGACGGCATACTTGCAGACAAAAGTGTACTCCTGAAAAAAAGAAAACTGTTTCTGTTTTGGCCATTTCAGTGAGAAAAATTCCCATTTAGCGCCTCAACGGTGAGAGATAGAGCCAAACGGGCAAAATTTTAGTCCAAGGAGCTCTTCTTCTACGATTTACCCCTTAGGGGACCATCAAATATTTTCTAAAGTTAATATATTTACTTTTGGGCCACTCTTGTGAGAGAAACTCCCTGTAGCGCCTAAACGGTGAGAGATAGAGCCAAACGGACGAAATTTTCGGTTCCACGGACCTTCTTTCTAGAGTGGCCCTTGTGGATACATCGAAAATGATAAAAACCCCCTTCTTCGACCAGCCCCTATTTCTTGGTTACCCTTTCAGACCCACTTAGGGGTGGTTGCCAGGATTTGCACCAACTGTTTCGTTGTCCAGAAGTCTGTGGCAAATGGGAGGACTGTCGCAAGTTTTTTGGACTAATTTTTCAGCAAACAGAGAAAACGTCTTCCGCATGATATCAAACTCAAAACAATTTTAAATGTAAGCGTAGACCTTCTGAATATATATGCAAATTGTCAAAATTCATTTACCTCCTAGTAGTGACCTTCCACAATCAAACACGGGTTACGACAAAAAGATTTTAGTTCTGATTTGGGGAAGAGTGGCGTATGTCCACTTATGACAAATGAAATTCTACTGGTTTTGTGGCAGACAGGCGTAAGTCAACTTGCGACAAATTTCCGCGCTCCGGCGGGGCCTCCGAGTGGTCTGTTGGTT